ACAATTTTTCGTTTTTTCATTTTCTTTTATTTTCAGTTTTTCAATTTTACAATTTTTCAGTTTTTCGTTTTTAATTTTTCGTCTCCTCAATTTCCCAAGTTCTTGATTTTTGTTTTTCATATATGTATTCGATTTTTTGATTTTTATTTTCTCGATTTCATATCACAATTTCTCCTTTTTACAATTTGAAAAATTGAAAAAATGAATAATCAAAAATTGAAAACTCGTGAAATTCTTTCTTCAGAGCCAATAAGAATGAATGATGAAAACTGAATAAGGGTGATCAGTGAAAAGGAGACAAAGAGTGGGCGGAGCTAAGTTTAAGTTTTTCTATTTTCTTAGAGGGTATCTCATTTACCAAAATTAGTTTTATCTTAGCATGTATAGTGGTCCAACACTGACTTCGTTTTTATGGCACTGCAATATCAATTACCGCAATTATTAGGAACTCTATTGAAAATGTAAATAGCCGTGCCATAAATCATCTTAAAGGTTTACGGGCGCATACGTTCCTGTGTAGTCAGTTGGTCCCTTGATGGTTTATGACCGCTGGATTACTTGCGGCAGAGGCCTATTGTGGAACACTTAACTCTTTCACAATAGAATGCAGTCATAAAAACGAACCAGCAGTTGGAGCACTATACTATCATCTCCACGAGATGATTTGAAAAACATAAAGTGTGAACGATCCTTGACCAAAATTTTCGAAAAATTCATATTGGAGGTATTGAAAAATTGGAATTTCTAAAAAGACTGACTATAAATTCTCAAAAATGCTGGCGTAGGTATACCTAGTAGATCTCGACAAGTTGTTTTGGAAAATGCCCCGAACCAAAATTTTCGAAAAATTCTGTGTTGACAAAATTTACTCTGCTCAGTTATCTAATAACTACATATTAACTTTGTATTACTTTTCACCGGACTCTGATATTCTTGCAAATTAAATATTTCAAAAACAAGACGAGGGATCCCCAAGATTGTTTCAAACTACTTCAAAAATAAAACAAAAGGGATCCCTGAGATTCTTTCAAACTACTTCGAAAACGAGATACAAAGAATTCCCGAAATTCTTTAAAAATTCTTCAAAAACTAAACATAACTATTAAAAGATGATAAAAGGGGTCTCCGAGATTCTTTCAAACTACTTCATAAACAAAACAAAGAGGGTCTCTGAGATTTTTTCAAACTTCTTCAAAAACAAAATTAACAGGGTTATTAAGATTCTTTCAAAATTCTTCAAAAATAAATCAAAAAGGGTCCTCGACATTCTTACAAACCACTAAAAAGAAGATAAAAGGGGTCCCCGAGATTCTTTCAAAATTTTTCAAAAACAAAAAAAGGAGTCCTCGAGAGTCTTTCAAACTATTTAAAAAAAAATGATCCAAGGTTACTTTGACAGAACTTCCCTCGCCCTTGAAGTACCTACAGTCCAAAGAATTTCGCTTCTTTGGAAAATTATAACAAAAAACTGTTTTCTGAAAATCTTTATATATATAAGGAGGTCCCATTCGCAGACTTATGGACGATATGAAAAATATTCAAAGCAAATAACCATCGGAAAAGAGTATTATTATCAGTGTACATACTTAACTTCGATTGTTTATACAATCGAAGGAATGTCACGTTGAAATTTCTTTAATTTGAATGAGTTGCTCCTCAAAACAGAATACTAAAATTGTTAATAATGTAAATTAAACCACAATGGAACAAAACGTTTTGAATATGATTATTATTATTTTTATTTGATCATAATTAAATAAAGACGTGGGTATTCTGACATTTTCTAGAAAACGAAGTTCTTTGACTAGTAAAGAATTGGTCGAAGGTTGTAGTTATAATCCGACAAATCCAGCTCTTTAAAAAAATTATAAAAACCAGAGGCATACGTAACACCCCTTGTCCTTCAGCCCTAGGTAATAGCAATCTGGAGCTCAAGTGTTTATTTATGTTTGTACATCGAAAGAATGTCACGTAGAGGGTCCCCGAGATTCTTTCAAATTACGTCAAAAATAATACATAAAAAGATCCCCCAAATTCTTTCAAATCACTTTAACGACAGGACAACACGGATTACCTTATACTTACTTACCTTTTATGAGTAGGTATCATAAGAAAATGAAAGAAGTATAAGTGAATATCATTCATATATTTTTTTGCTCTAGGCGTTTTAGTTTTTATTGAAATATACCTATTACCTAATGTTCTGTAATCAACAAATTAAATTTTAGCCTTACAAAATTTTCCAAGAATCATAAATAATGTGTAAATATGTGTAATTACATAATCGATTAGAGATATTTAAAGCTATATATTTTTACTCGTTGACGTCATCAGATTCGTGGAGGAATGAAAGACTTTTGCTTTGATTTTAATTATTTTCAGGTTAATCTTCAAATACATTTAAAATTTTAAAGTCAAGGGTTTGATAAGCTTAATATTATTGCATGTTAGTGCAGTCAGTCATATTGTAGATGGATCGTCCGAAAGGGCAGATCTGCATTTTTGTATTCCACGTTGTATTTTGAATGATTCAGGAAACACCAAGAAAACATTGAAACTGCCATAGATTTTATTATATTATCTATCTGAACTATGATTTTAGCGTTTAGTTCAATTTGTTATAATTTTTTTCTGAAACTAGTAGGTATTTACTACCTTGGTACTACCCTGAAATAGTCCGCAACGTCGTTTTAAGTATTATTAATTTAAGTAGTGATTGTTATTTTATTTAAAGAAACATTCACTGTTGACACAAGATGTACAAATTAGCTATAAAAGAAGAGACAAATAAATATAGTGGCCCAAAAGGTATAAGGTTATATGACCATCATAAAAGTAGTTGACCGCAAATAAATACCCCCTTTGTGTGGTTCGCACTAACCTTACCGGTTGGCAATGAATCGTCTTCTAAACATTTCTTGCTCACTGGCTTTCAAAGCGAGTGGTTATTTCGGAACCCTCAGCGGCTGCAGGTAGTAAAGAAATAGTAGAGTGGTGGATTTTCATATTTAGTGAAAGACGCCCCTGAATGAAACCACAACAGCCGCTCGAGCTGCAGTGGACACGTTATTTACGACCCTAAAACCTTTTCTATTGTAAACAAATGAACTTCCACACAATGGGATGATTTTATGATGGCCATGTAACCTTATAGCTCTTGATCCATTATACAATCACTAAGTACCTATATTCCTAGTTAAAATTTAAATACTGTTGTAAAATTGCTTACCTAGGTACCTACCCAAGCAGATAATATTTGCCCAGAACTCTGTCTCAGGCTTGTATTGACTTTCACTAATTTTTATGAGGGCTTAACTAAAGACGCTTGTAAATTTGCCGCCGTCGAGATGGTTGGGGACCCTAATGAAAATTTCACTGCCACCTGTATTTACTCAAAATTAGTGGAAGTCAATAGATGCCTGAGGCAAACTCCACACAAAAGTTGTGGTTAAAGTAAAAGAACCCTTTTGCTTTTCCATGTTTATTTTTGGTGTGGAACTAAACTTCGGCTAAAGATATAATGAGTTTATGACTATGATTTCATAAGCATTGTACAGCGGAACCCTCATAAAATTAAATAAACACCTACAAGCAATGATATGTTAGGCAGACAGTTAAGTTAGCCACTTGCTGTATTGAAATAATTTTTATTTATTATTCTTAGAATAGGAGAAGGTTGAGCAGCAATTAAGCCATAGTCGTGCTATATCTTTAGCCGAACTATACAAAAATTCACAAACATCTTTTCGGCACACTGTATCTACTCGTTAAATCGTGAAATTATAATATACATTTAATTTAACGCAAAAAAGGCAAAATGTAATTTCAAAACTAAAGATATCTACATTCTAAAGAGATTTTTGGTACATACAATTACTAAACACGGTGAACTTAAAGCACTTTTATAACAATGTTAATAATTAATTAATTTCAAAATGAAATTAATGAAAAGTAAAGATTGTGAATAATTTAGACACCGTAGTCAACCCTAAGATATTTTTAAACTCATGCATGCAAATAATAATCTAACAACTAGGTATACTTATACAAGATAATAATAAATATCATAAGAACATTTTGTAGGCACGGTAATTTCTGTTGTACAGTTTAATCAATACTGACATTTGTAATTGTCAAACCTATTAAGGGAACCATTGACAAATAAACAAAGCGTAGATATACAGTTTTAAGAAAAGAATTATTCTTTCGGGCTTCAGGTTTTTGTCATGATAAATAATTAATCCACGAAGATTACCATTCGGGGAAGAAGGTTTATGATTATTTTTTGAAGAGCTGCTCAAATTCGCGAAAATTTAATTATACAGACCTATAGAGAAAATACTCGAAAAAAAATTTAAGCACTAGGTATATTTCTGCTATTAATATAGTGACAGGGAAATTGCTTTGTTATTTATATGAATGCAGTAATTAACAACCTGATTTATATGTATTGTTTTCGATTTTACACCCTTTTTCCTGCTTTCTCCATATACTAAAATTACCTACACGTGACCTACATGTCATCCACACCACTTCTTTGCGCCATATGCGCAGTTCCTCCAGCGAATTATACCATCGATCCTTCAATAAATTCTTTTATTGACGTGTTCGAAAGCAGTTGTCACGACGTTAAAAATCAGCTCTACATTGTTAACACAAACGCTCTAATACAAGAATAATCGCGACCTCAAGAACAACCAGGTGCCAACCGTCAAATAATAGTCGACCTCGATTCTTTCCTAGCCCGCATTCAGCCGCCACCATCCTCTGTTACCAAATGTTACCAGCGAAATTTACAAAACAAACAAAACAACCCTCTTGTGTCAGCAAACAAGTTAATACATTAGAGAATGCCCCCACTAATAGAGGGTTTGTCCTGGCGAGTCGGGGCGGAGCCTGGCGTGTACACAGACGCGGATTGGCTGAATCTGATTGGTGGATAAGTTTAGAAGTTATTTAAGCTTTCTCTACGACAAAACTGGTTCTAGTGGATGGTGAGCTTCAGTCTTTGGGTGACTGCGGTTGAGAGAAGACAGTCGTTCTAGTGTGTTGTTATGTAAATATGGTGAAAAGGGAAGAAACCATTTTGGTTATTCCGACGATGGCGCGCACTCCGTTGAAATCGTCGTTTTCGATTAGCTCGATTTTACCGGAAACGGCTCTGGAAGCCCCGAAGAGTCCGGAGGAAAATGTGAGTTCGATGCAGGCGTCTGAAACCGAAATGAGCGACTCCGATTGTGATTTGGATGTCACCGGGACACCTCCACCTCTGGATTGTTCGAAAAGTTCGCAAGAAAGCAAAGACAACGAAGACAAAAAGTGTAAAGAAAAACCTCCATATAGTTACAACGCTTTAATCATGATGGCTATCCGGAATAGTCCAGAGAAGCGTCTAACCCTCAACGGAATCTACGAATACATCATGAGGAACTTCCCGTATTATCGCGAAAACAAGCAAGGCTGGCAAAACTCAATCAGACACAACCTCAGTCTAAATAAGTGCTTCGTGAAAGTCCCTAGGCACTACGACGATCCAGGGAAAGGTAACTACTGGATGCTCGACCCTTCCGCCGAAGACGTTTTCATTGGTGGCACTACTGGCAAGCTCCGAAGGAGATCCACAGCGGCTTCTAGGTCTAGACTAGCAGCTTTCAAACGCACCATAGCTCTTGGAGCTTTCTACCAACCTCTGCAGCCGTTTCCGCCCCCATATGGGGCCTTTTACCCTGGTAGTCCAGCAATGCTGGCAGCTTCAGTCTACCAAAGGTACAATCCCTACCTGCAAGCAGCGTCTATGCTTCCAAAGCCGACTCCGCTCATGCCCCAGCAGTCCTTCAACATGGAGAGGCTTCTGGCACCGTCTTCTGACGTTTCGTCGACACCCTTCTTCAGGCAACCTCTGGATCTGTACAACAATTTCCGGATACCGCAACATCCTCAGGTTTTACAACATCCAGTTACTCTTTCGCCGTCGAGTACGTCCAGCTCGCCGGAACCCAGGAGGAGTCCTGATAGCTTGTTTAAACCCGTTACGGTGATTTCGAGGCAGAGTTGATATTGACTGATGGGTTAGGGACACGAAGCTTTAATTGATGGACTTTGGTTTGTGTTCAAACTCTTATTTTGATCTCATTAGAAACGTCCACTTTTTTCTACGTTTTTTATTTGCTGTGCAAATTTTATTGTAAATAGTTTTGTAAAGATTGTACCTAAATCAAGGATATAAGTAGAGAGATTATGTGATGTACCTTCGATATAATTGTTTGTATAGTGTAATAATATATTAATATTTAAATAAATAATTGTCGAAGTATGTTGGTCTTTGTTATTATGGTGTGGTCAGTATCCGACGGTGGAGTGCCAATTCTGGCGGACACCATCAAAAGTCATGCTATGTTGTGACAGGTCAGATTTTTATTCTATTCATATTTTATTCGTAATGGGGTGACAATGAGGACATTGAAAAAACCGGGTTAAATATTTATTTTGTTTGGAAAAGATTGCGACAACAAAGTAAGAATCAGAGTATCGATCCTTCTTAAATGAACAGTTAAATTAAATAGCAGGTAAAAGTATTAATTATTATCTACAGACAAGGAAGGATTAATTGGTGGGTATAATTATGAATATGTTCAGATTTATCAAACTGGCGTGCTCGTTACAAGATAGAGATTTTTAAATTATTCGGAAATCTATCACTTTTATAAATGTGAAAATCCAGCTCACCGAAACCGGTTTGATTTTTAATTTTGGAAGTTATTTTAACTATCAGTGCCGCTGATTTAAAGTTGTTTTTATAAAAAGTGCATATTTAACACGTTGGGATTTCAACATAGTCATTTATCACAAATTGGTTAAAAATGGTTTTCTCTGTAATAATGGTTTCTTGTCTTTTCACCTTAATTCGTTAATTGTTCAGCGAAATCTGCTTCTGTTTAATTTATTGTTAAGTTTGTGGCACATTTGGGGCTTTTTAGACAGATAAACTATATTTATTCGCAAACTATTAGACGTATAAATTTTAGCATGTCCTATTATTAAAATATGCCATGAAATAATAGAAAGACAAAATTTATTGATTTGTTTGTTAAAATAAATTTTAAATTACTGAAATTTTGTCAATAAATTACAAAATTTTGTATAATAAACAGAACGATTTTTTAAAGCCAAACATAACGACTCTCTGAATAATATGCCAAATTTTTATTTTTGTTTTTTGTTTGAGGACACAACAATAAAACACTCCTTGTGAGATCATATTTGGAAAAACTTATAGTCATCTAATAATAATTAAACTACTGTCTTAACCACTATCTACCGTTGAGGATGATTGATGTGCTCAGATTTTTATCATAGGTAACCTAGTACATCAATAAAACGTCACTGATAAATTATAATTTCTATTCAAAAATGAAAACACCTATGCCTAATTATTTTTTTAATAAACAAGAAGAAAATTTATAAATATAAAAAAGAAAAAAACATGATTTCCAGACTAAGTATCATCCTACCGATTTTTCTGGACTGTGATGAAGATGGCCAATTATTATTACTATTATTTTTTAAATGTATGACGTTATCTCAAAACAATGTTTAGTAAAATTAATTTAATAAGGCGCCTCTAGAAAAGTTTGGATTATTAGCTTTTCAGTTTATCTCAGAGATTACATTTTATCTTGTTTGTCAGTAGTGTGTGGTATTCGTTGTTGTTAAGGAGCGAGGAAAGTTCACTGAAAATAATTTTGTTTTATCTAATTATTTTGTTCTAATTGGGGTAAAAAAATTGCATTCTTATTTTTTAAATTGCTATCTTAAATTGACAACTTAGTTGAAAATAAATAAGACATTTATAGTTCTAGATAGATTTCAATATTTTAAAAATAATTCTGTCAACTACAAAAGAATTATTGATAGTTTAATAGGATTATTGTAATATAAATATGATTCTATAAAAACTTTATCACCTCGTAAACTATTATCCGAAAATTTAAATGTGTGTCTGCTGCTAAAATTATGACGCCGCAGTTATTTCGATTAACAACACTTTTTTTTCAATTATTTTCAAAATTAAGATTTTTTATTTTGTTAATTAAGTCTTGAATGGCTGAAACGACATCATTGAGAAAAAGTAAGTGAGAAATGTAGGAAAAATTAGGCCTAAAATTTGATAAGTATTTTTGAAATTCTTTGGACAATTTTTGCCATGTTTAAACATGGTAGTATCAGTATAGTGTGCTATATAAACCTACTAATATTCTGTTAAAATATAATTATCATCATCAGGTTTGATAATATAGCTTAAATTTTTGTGTTAAGTGTCTAACATATTTTCTTTTTTCATTTCAGTAAATTTTTGAGATTCTGTCCAAAATTGTGTACAAAATTAAGAGATAAACAGTCACAACTAGGAGCATAAACATAGTTCAACAGATCTGAACTGTAAAATTTAATTATAGTTAATTATCATGACCTGAATTAGTGGAACATGAGCTAAAAAAACAAGTGTAAGCAAATTTAATTCAATGATACAAAAAGAAAAAATCTAAAGATCGGTTTGTACCTGGTGTATTAAATATTTAGTTTGGGTTTATTATTATTAGTGAGCGATTAATCTGAGAATTTGATTGGTTGAACTTGTTCACGTGATAGATTAATTACGTGATTAGATTAATGACAGATTAAGTGCCTCTGTAAACTAAGTATAGGCCTAATTTAATATTACCATAAGGCATACATTTTGATTAAATCACAAATTAACCAAATTATAATATACAAGATTTGTGTTCTGTTTAGAGTAAACTTATTACATGTGGAATATTCATTAAAAGTAGGATATTGTTCGCTATATTTTAAATCAATAAAATATCCATAAATAAATAATACTTTCTTGTTCAGGTTTTTTTAAATAAAAGCTGTGTAAAATGAGTTACATTTACATTAATAAGTCTAAAATGTTTCTGGATGTCTTGGAAAGTCTACAAATATTTAACGATGAGACGTAAATATATTTTTTTTTTACTACTTCTCTCTTCTGATCCTTGTAGAGTCAGAAGAACCACTTTTGTTTAGTCTGTTACAAAATCCGTATTAGTAGCACTAAAACAGATTATTTCCAATTGGTACGAAATTAATTAAGTGTGAAGATTGAAGGTTACTGTAATTAACAGAAATAAATCCTATTACAATGACTTTTCGTTTGGTTGTTCAATTTAGAACGAATTTTAACGAACATTGATAGTTGTAATCGAGGTCTTGAAAGTGAATCAGGTAACAATCGCTTAATTAGGCGGATAAAATTAATAAAACATTGCCTTCCAAAAAATTCTTGTAACAATTTTTCAGAACTGAAAGTCGTGTGTTTCTTAAAAAAGCCAGAAAATTTCGCAATGTGTACACGAACCTGAACTTCGCGTTAGCCAATGTTTAGCAAAGGCATGCGTATCCACAAACAATTTATGAAACACTTTTACAGTTCAAAAATATTTCTTCGAGAAATACTTCCACTGGAACTGTGATGACTAACATTTGACGGTAATGCAAAAATAAACGTTCCTTTCGTTCCTAGCAGTCTTGTCTAGTCTGCTCCTATTTTTCTAGTTAGCACCGGTTTATTTTTCGTCCAATTCTAATTATTCCGCAATTTAAACGTACACTAAGTTATCGTGGGCAGAAAATTCGAGCAAAGCTAACCGTTTAAGTGGATTGCTAAATTACATCGTTATTTACACTGTACGAATAAATTCCTCTTCCCCGCTGAGACATTTATGGTGATTACAAATGTAAATTATGTATCGGTATCTGTTCACAGTTTGATTGTTACATCTTTAATCGAAATGCACAAGATGGTGATATATTCGCGCTTTTTAATCCAACAAGAAAAAACGAAAATCGTATAAAAGGTCGGCAATGATTGTCGTGTAGGTGTTGAAATCGGTTCTGGTGCCCAGCTGTGGAATGCCTGAGTTAGATATGGGACTATATCGTGTTTGGTGTAAATTAATACAGTGTTAACACGTCTCTGCCTGCTGGTACTCACAATATCCCGCTGATTGATACCAGCGGCCAGCGGTTTCCAATTTTGTTAACCATCACACTTGTACAGAGTTATTCGTTTCTTTTTCTATTATTAATGTTATGCGAATCTGTTTTTGACCAGCAATTTACTACAGGCCACGCTGCCATCCATCAGCTCGCACCGAGCGAAGCCCACTGAACAGACCATTGTTTATGGGCAAGAAAACAAAAAACTTCGCATGGGAAGTCAAAAATAAAGTTAAAAACAAAATTGTAACGCTCTAACATGTGTCCTACGAAAACAAATATCTCAATTTTGAAATGACCTTAATTTGGTCTACGTTTTGAGGACTTCATGATCGTGGAGTTTTAATTTATATGTTTTGTGAATGTAAGTAGTACAAAGTAGGTAGAAAAATCGCGAAATTTAGTATAAATTGGTTATGACTATTTAATTGAAAAGATATAAAGCTCAATAGGGAGGAAAAATTACGATTAAATTACATTTCTAATTTTTAACAACTTTGTTTATAAGCCTAAATTAATATAGGTACTTTTTAAATAAAATTAAAAATGATAAGAAATAAATTCTAACACAACACAACATAAAAATTAGTTTAACCTTTAGACATATAATATTTTATACCGACAATTAGAGACCGGACTAGTGTGGCCAACCTTCAAGTCAACCTTGAGCCTGAATTAATGCTATGTATACGTTTTATGTCTAATATGTAGTATGAACGTCGCTGGATATGCGTAAATTTGAAGGAAAAACTAACCGTTTATTGTACAGTAGATACAGTTGGCCACCTGGAGACTAATAATTCCGATGGGAGGTTCAAGTGCACCATTGCACTGGCATTTTGCTCTTCTACTCGCGTAATACAATAACATAAAATATATAAAGTTAATATAAACAAAACACAAATCCAAAAAACTTTAAATAAACTCCAAAAATAAAAATATTACCTACTCAATGTTTAAATTTCTGTGCTGCTTCTTTACGAACCGCATATATGATGCAAAATATTTTTATTGTGTAGTAGTTAAGAATATCCTGCTGGCCATATGTAGTCTAGATTCTGTTCATTGGCTATTTATGGGAAGAGGGTCATCATTTCTTTATATAATCTTTCAAACTGCAGAATTGAAGAGTTTCAAGTTATCCAAATTGATTTGTAGAATTCTAAATATTTTCCTACATTATGTTCTAAACTCATCCAATTTCATAATATAAAATCTTGTAAA